TCTCACAATCGAGGCCCGAGAAGATTCCGAGATTTCCTTTCTGCAGCGTCAGCGACGTCCGGAGTGGGTCCGGAATCGTACGAAACACATTGGATATATGCTCTCTTCTCTCCCCTCTATGCCGACAATAATGATGATGAGATATCGAGTGGAGCGACTTTGCTATGTACGTTGTGGGTGCAGCACCGGAAACTCCATGGGAGCAAACCCCGGACCCCGGACTCCTAGTTTCGGATCTGGATGGCCGCCGTCCCCTGCTCGATGGCACGCAGCCGTTGTCAGCGCCGCTGCACATTCAGAATCTATGAAATTAGCATGTGTGAAAGGTGCATGAAATGTGGGGATAAGGGTTGGCGTATAAAACTCCGGCCAGAGTGAAAGTTCTTGATCGAAGATGGAGACTAACAAGTGTTTTGTTTTGGAAAAGGTTCGAGCAACATCAGATTTACCATCAAATCCAACATGGTACACTCAGTGGAAGCGCCGATAGTCATCGTCTTGGGAACCGGGAAAAATATCGGCGCCCATTCGGTCGAGACGTTCCGATCCAAGGGCTTTAGGGTCGCGCAGTGTTCGAGGTCCATGAAAGAATCTCTAGACAAAGATGGCACCTTGTTTTCTCTGCCTTGTGACTTGGCCAAGCCGACACAAGTTAGCGACGTGTTCGCCAAAGTGCGCAAGACGTGGGGGGAGCCGAGCGTGGTCATCCACAACGGTGAGTGAACTCGTTTTACCTACATCGTCAGCGGACGAAAGGTGATTCTAACTTTGACGCAGCATTTGGATGGCACCCGACGAAACCGATGGACACCTTTTCAGTCTCCACCGAAGCCTACGAGGCCGACCTGGCCATCAACAACACGTCCGTGTTCGTGGCGATCCGGGACGCCCTGGAGGGTTTCAAGACTCTCCCGCCGGCGGCACCTAAGACCTTCGTCTTCACGGCCAACATCCTCAACGAAGGGCCCATTCCCGGAATGCTGACGCTGGGAACGGGCAAGATCGCCTCGGCACACATGGTCGAGCTCGGGGACCAGCTCTTCAAAGACCAGAACATTCGATTCTTCTGGGTCGACGAGAGAAACGACGATGGAACCCCTATGTTCACCGGCCTCGGCGGCCAGGCTCACGCCGACCTCTTTGTGTCTCTGTCCGATCGGACAGCGGGTGATGTGCCGTGGCAGGTCACCTTTGTGGCGGGCAAGGGATACGTGGAGTTTCCACACGAGGTCATTCTGCCTGCCGATAAGTCGAAGTATACCATTAAATAGTCGGGTCGGGAATTGCCAACACCGACGACAGCGTTTGAATCTTGATATGACCGTTTGATAATATCCTTCGGGGCAGTCAGAGGGCATCTCTGTAGTACCCCGTAAGTCTTGTTCGATTCAATACATCGTACCGAAGCATTATTCGTGACAATAAATGCTTCCGTTGTGTCAAGCTTTGAAGCCAAAGGCTTCGCTCCGACCGCACTCACCAGGACAGGCAAGAAAGTGAGCCTCCTTAGCAACAAGATCCGTACAACTCATTTAATTCAGCGGGCTAATCTCCTCAACGTATATCGATTGCTTTCATAGTAGGCTAAGTGTCCTCGAACCCTGTCTCAACCGAGTCACTCGACAGTAACTCTTTGACCAACTATGCAGGTGCAGGTGCAGGTACAGGAGCATCAATCGAGTTCAGAATCACCGAAACGTAACTGTAAAAGCCAACGTGATGGACGAACCCGACTGTCCCATCCTTCCCAAAATGCTGCACCAACTTGTCCCAGTGGGCCTGCGGTAGCGGTCCCGGTGTGTTCATCAAGTACGTCGCCGCATCGTATGCCACGCCGCAGCCCTCATTCAAATCTGCGGGTTTCGCGCCCTTAGACAGCTCCCCCACCTGCTCCCGCGAGAGGGTACCTGCCTGCGTCGACGATGCTCCGTGGCTGTACAACGCGTATCCCGCCCTGAACTTGGATGCCACCGTCAGGACGACTGTGTCGCGCGCGTCCTGGGGCAGTCCGGTCAGCTTCGCCATGGCGCCGATCAGTTGCAGGAAGATGGGCGCGGCGGTCGGGTCGTGCAGGAAAAATGGGAAGGGCCCAATCAAGCCTCCCCGCGAGTCTTTGTAGATGAATTTCGAGCCGTTGGGTCCAAAGGCTGTTTGGACGAACTGCTGACATGTTTCCACCAGTGCCTGCTCGTCGGTTGGGCAGTCGGCTGGCGTCTTTGGCAGGAGGCGAGCCATGTGTATAGTTCGCGCTCTTCTGGGGATGTTGTGAAAAGTGACGTTGCCGACTCCAAAGATGCCGTAGGGCGAATTTTTGTTAAGAGAGCTACCTCGCGAGGTTCTCTTCAAAATCGTTTCTGCCTTTTTTGGTTTATAAAGGGTGGATACGGCATCCTCATTGCCTCAGAACGATCTTTACCTTGATTTAAACTGGAATAGCTACTAGGTCGTAGTTGACCTATCAAGTATGTCAGGCTACATAGTGCCACGGTCATTAACGTAGTAGGCGAGCACTACTACTCGTCGTGCCTCGGTAGGCAGTAGGTCATGACTTTGACGAGAGCAAAAGGGATGCGAATGAAGAGCCTCCAGACCCGGAAACTCCATGGAATTTTCGTCATCTGATTTGCGGACTGTTGGGCCCATGTCCAAGAGAGCCGATTCGCATCGGGAGTCGGCGGCTTTCGGCAGGCCTCGCCCAGAACTTGGACCACATTCAGGGCACAGACTCGCCTTCTCACACGCGAGAGGACTACCACCTAGCTCTATACTACTAATGAATGAAGTGGTTACAGTGCAAATTGATAATTTCTGGTTGTGCACTGCGAGGCCAGAGATACGTCACGGCGGCAGCGATCCCGAATACTTGTGCTGAATAATAGTCCTACTTACCACGGTACCGAGTGTACCTGATGATATATATAGGTAGGTGCGGCGGCTGTTAGGACGTGATATGCCATCCTTGATCACACGAAAAGTCAGTCACCGTCAATGGCAAGCACGAGGGTGGGATTGCTGGGCGCGACCGGCGAGACAGGGAGTTCCATCCTTGAGGGACTGGTTGCAGATGGAAGTTTTGTAAGACATGCACTCTTGCCTCCCTACCTCTCTATCTTTACCCATAGTAGTGGCAGCTGCTGGACTGACTCACTGGCAGGAAATTGTGGCTCTGACTAGACCAGATTCCTTGTCCAAACCGGCCAATGTCGCTCTCCGCTCCCGAGGTATCCAACTGCGTGCTCTAAACATGGACTCATCCGAGGATACTCTTGTCGACGTGCTCAGGGACATCGACATTCTCATCTCCACCATCGGACCACGAGCCCAGTTGGCACAGATTCCTCTGGTCGGCGCTGCGAAGAAGGCTGGTGTCAAACGCTTCATCCCGTGCGGTTTCACGCTCGTCATGCCAGTCGGGGTCCATCGATCCAGGGACGAGAAGGAGGTTGTGTACAACCTGGTGAAGCGCCTCCATCTTCCCTACACCATCATCGACGTCGGATATTGGTACCAGGCCTCTTTTCCCGAGCTGCCGTCCGGAAAGATCGACTACGCCGTCAGCTTTTCGCAACGCGGCATTCCGGGCGACGGCAACGTATTTTCCGCCCTGACCGATGTCCGAGACATTGGCAAATACGTGGCGTGCATCATCCGCGACGAGCGGACCCTCAACAAGATGGTCTTTGTCTACAACGAACTGTGGACCTCGAACCAGATTTATGACTTGCTCGAGAAATTGTCGGGCGAGACGATTCAGCGCAAATACTCTCCCACCGAGGAATATGAGCGACAGTTGGCCGACGCCGACGTCAAGCTGAACCAAAACCCGGATGATTTCGTGGCGCGAGCGCAGAAGGTCGGCGCGCAATACGCACTCTCTTGGGGCATCCGTGGCGAGAACACTCCCGAGTTCGCCAAGTACCTCGGATATCTCGACGGCAAGAGCCTCTATCCGGATCTCAAGTTCACCTCGTACCAGATTTACCTGGAAGAGGTCGTCAGTGGCAAAGCACGAGCCGTCTACCCCGAGTTGCAGTCTCTGCTCAGGAAAGTCGGCAAGGAGAGTTCGTGAGAAAAACTCTGATCGGGTTCATTGATGGAGTGGTATAATGTAACAACTAAATACTTGAATCAAAACGTCAGGGCGTAGCGGAAAACTGACCAAGTAGAGCTGTGATTGCTGGCAGTGTCAGGACTATATAATGACGGTCAGGGAAGGTTCTCCGACGGCCTTCGGCTAAAGGCTAGTGAGGCCTCGGAACGGCGCTAGTAGGCCTTTATAAATTACCTACAAGTAGGTACTCTTAGGCATCTCGGTATAGTTAGACGGTCCCTAGGACCTAGTAGAATTCGCTATGTTCCTCCATTGAGTCATAGAGCCACACCGATTGCGTCACGTGGTTAGACTAGGCCTACTTGGGTTTAGCTCCCAGGCATCCCCTTCTACACCTATTGGGTGCCTATGACACCAACTCTCCCTTTTAGACAGACCACTGTGCTACACTGTGCTATGACAGCCATTGAAGCTTGTATTCCCTAGGCTCCCAACAGGTTAGCTGGATCAGGTCATTCGGTGTATGCTCGGAAACTCTGTGCAGGGCAGGAGCGACCGTCTCGACTCCCACGACTCCTTCGATTGCCTCAAACCCCTGCCATCTCCGCAGTAACTTTTCCCCGCTTTCCCCAGCACTGAGCAGAAGAGTCGCCTGTCACGACCTGTTCCGTGCCGAGGATTCTCGACTCTTTACAACTATTCCTCTCTTCTGCAGCCCTTTCTGCCTCAACCTCGTCCTCCTTCACAGCTTCAACCCAAAATCTTCTCCTTCATCCTCATCATGCCACTCCTCACCTACCCTCGACAGTATATCCGGTGATCTCATCTTTCCACCGCCGCTGGAAGCAGTCAGTTTTCATCTTCTGATATGCCTTCAAGTGTTTGACGAGTAGCTCCAAGTGACTGACTGCTCTTCTACGCCTTGTATGAAGGCTGAGCTCATTCTTCCATGGCAACGTCGACAGATCCTCAGCCTCAAGGCCAAGCCAACCCATTCAAGCGACGCCGCCAGAACCCCGTCTCTTGTCAGTTCTGCCGGGAGAAGAAGCTCAAGTGCGACCGGCAGAGCCCATGCTCGAATTGCTTCTACAGAGGCCTCTCCTGTGGCAACGAGCCGAAACCCCAACCCAGAAGCGCATCCGACGTCGTGGACAACACGATCATCTTGGAGCGGCTGAAGCGTCTGGAGAGCACATTCCTCAGTCTAGAGACCCGTCTCCATTCTCGCGACGACCTTGACCGCGTCGCTCGACCCGAAGTTCTTCAAGGGTCTGCTGGCGTGTGGCCATGGCCATCCTCCGCGAAGCCAGCTGCGTTCGCCACCCAAGATGGTCCGGACAGGCACAAGGACATGCATTTCTACCCGACACCAGCATCAGAATACGCCGAGGCCGTGCAGAATCTTGAAGGAACCGGCTTGCGACGTGATCCCTGGCTTCCCATGGGCGCACTCGATGTCGAAGTCAGAGTGGCTACCGCTCAACACATTGCTTTGCTCAACTCCGACCCCGCCTTACGAGAGCTGCTGGTCAAGAAGGCGACCATCACCTGCGCACTGCCCGACAAAGCCGAAGCCGTTCTTCTCCTCGACTACTACAAGGACTATCTCGATGGTCTCCAACCTATCCTACACATACCCACTGTACACGAACACCTGGACCAATGCTATACTGACATCTCACAAGGCCAGCAAGCAAATCCGAGTATTCTCATGCTGCTGTTGAGCATATTCGCGAGCGCCTCAGCCATGATGTCGCACCATCAAGGAGAGGAGACCTCGCCAATCTCCCAATCGGATGCGACTCATCTGTCAACGTACTGGACCGGCTGTGCCTTGAACTTGATGAGGTACCACCATAACAGGTCCTGTGACATGGTCGAAGTGATCCAAGCGACCATTCTATTGTCCTATCTGCTTCTCGAAGTCGAGGGTTTCTCTCACCGTGTTCATTCCTACTTCACCATTAACGTCTTTAGAGCACGCGATCTGTCCCTCCACAAAATCGATGCTCCGGGATCCTGGGCACCTCGAAGCGCAGTTGATATGGAAATCAAGCGCAGAATTTGGTGGAATGTGGTAACAACAGACTGGTCGGTGATCTCTTCCCTCTCCGTCGTTTAATTTCTCTGACAAACATTCCAAGGGTTCTTTCGCTTTCCGGAGGACCGCAAGAGGGCACGTATTCGGTGCATCCACGACAGATGGCGGTCAACGTCCCTCGGAATATCGACAACAAAGACATGATTCACGGCAGTTCGCTGATAGACCGTCCTCCCTCCGAGCCGACAACCATGTCCTACCATCTACAGCGCATTAAACTCGCAAGTCTTTGTCGCGAGGTCGTCGACCTTATTCCCATATCTGTGCACGACATCTCGCCCATCGATTACCAACAAGTGATCGCGCTGGACCAGCGTTTCGGTGCTTTCCTACAAGAGCTACCGATATTTCTCCGGAACGACAAACAAAGCATCCAACAAAGCGAGCACGTCGTCGCTCGATATCCACAGTTACGAATACAACGTCAAGCTCTGTCAATGCTAGCGAAGACCAGGCGTTGCAAACTGCACCAGCCTTTCCTCATTCGAGGGTCGGTGGACTCGCGTTACGCGTACTCTCGCACCATATCTCTTAAGGCAGCCCGAGCGGTACTCGAGGAAAGGTCACGGATCGAAGCAGCCGACAATTTGAATCATGTCGTCGACCGTCACCAGCTCAACAACGGCTATCTGATATACCATACATTCATGGCCACCATCGTCCTCGTCATGGATCTGTGCTTCAACCAAAAACCGTCCCCCAACAACAGCAGCAGTCACAGTTTCGACGACGAAGACGACGAGACCAGGGTCACCAAAGCCGAAGTCATGAAAGCCTGCCGCAGTCTCCATCAAGATCAGAGTGCGCCGGGCTTGGGCGTCGCGTATCTCGCATCGCTCATGGACGTATTGAGAAAGTACCAGATCAGACTACGTCCGCCGAGCAACGAGCGTGGTAAGAACAAAGCACCAGTTCAGCCCAACACCAACGTCGTCCCTCACCAGATGACCACCTCTTTCGCTCAATTGCCGTTCACGCCCGGCTCAAACTCGGCGGCCCCTGACTTGACACTATCGACAACAGCCCCAGTTCGGCCCATCGTCCGACCGCTCCGACGACCCGTAACAAACGGCACTCCCGGCGACCAACCTCCCAACACCAGCAGCGTAGGAGGCGGCGACGACTCCTTCACCCAACTCAACCTCAACCTGGGATCGTCCGCCAATAACGGGCCTTATTCGTTCGGTGGTGGCGATCAATGGCCCGCCACCGGATCCGTTGCCCCTGGGCTCGCGCAACCGCTGCAGGCGTGGTTGGTCGACTTTGAAGACATCTGGAACGACTATGTCGAGCTGGGCCCAGAACTCGAGAGACCATATTGGGACAGTCTTTTTTCGGACTTGGGCCCGGGGATGGCGTGAACAAAACCTCATTTTCAAGTACTATGTAAGATGTGTGTAGGTAGTGGCTTATATGCAAAAACCAGAGCTGTGTGATGTATGACGACGACAAAGAGGGAGAGTGACAGACCGGAAGAATGATCTAAAGAACCAAGAACACCTACGGAAAATGACTGAAATCACCTATGTTGTGGTAGTATCCATCCCATGCCAGTTGACGGTGCCAGTCCACCAAGAGACTATTAATAACAACAAAAGAGCAACCTCTGCCTGCTTCGTTCGCGTCGGAGAACGAAAACGGGCAAGTAAGATCCTTTATCCCATTCAAAGTGACTCGCTGCTTTGATACGAGGGTGGTAGGTATTCATAAACTTCCCTTCCTACCTTTAACAGACAAGAGATTGAAAGGCTCTCTTTATGCTTGCTGAAAGCGACCCAAGAATAAATTCCTTGTCGGGTGAAAAGAAAATTAGTATCTCTTAGAGTAGTATTTCCCGTCGAAAACCAAGAAGAATAGAAGAAACGAAAAGAAATGATGAGGGATGATGATGATCATGAGGAGGGGGGGCGTAGCTAGGGTAAAAGATGACGCAAAAATATTTGGTTTTCGTTTTCTCTCCTTTCTCATTCTAAACATAATAAAGTAAACCAAAGGCCAGCCTCGCTGAGACGCTCCCACCGCGCCGCTTCGGGCCAGGCAGATCTTTACTCCAAAGGCCACGAGGTCAAAGGGCCACGGGGGAAGTAGCAGTACGAAGCAGAAGCAGCAGCATGAGATAGACGAGTGCCAGTGATGTCAACCTTGGCCAAGTGTGGATTGTAGTAGCTGACGGATTATGGGCTTCACGTCGCCTGTACCGGACTTCAGTTTAGATCGAGTAAGAGAGACCTAAGTCTTCTGCAATGATAGACGCAGCCTTGTGGCCTACCGTAAGCGTAGTGGCATACGTGTTGGCGGATACATTGGACGGACAAATTGACAGATCTATGTAAGATTTGATCAGTTTGCAGCACAATCCAACTATAAGGGAATACTCACCAACGACCTTCAACCCCTGGACTCCAAAGACATTCAATCTCTGGTCCACCACGCCTCCTTACTCTCTTAGCTTCATAGCGCATGTTCCCATGCTGTACTATGTGGTACTAACGTTACGCCTGATAAATAGCTTAATAGCCTAGTCATCGCTCTTAGAATATTCGATTAGCACGGGATAACCGCTCTTCCGGTCTTGGTCGTCCACGAAACCAAATCCGACCTTAGACTTATTAGGGAAGACTTAATGTCCGACTTCTAGAGCGCTACGATAGTAGCTTATCCTTCGTGCGATCTCCCTCTACTTCTTGTACCCTTAGACGAGTTTCTGGACATCGGCTAGATAGGTTAGGAAGCCCAAATTAAACTCGGGTAGATCCGAGACCATAGGCCCGGTAATGTATATCGATCTACGTAAGTAGGGGTATAGCGTATAAGGTCCTAGGTGTCACGGCCTAGCTGACCACATATAGGATATCCGTATAAGGCTCCCATACGAGGCTAGCTACCCCGTACAAGACTAGGCGCGTAATGTCAGAGCTACTTCCTATGTAGCCTAAACTAGTTAGACTCCTCAGTCATAGATCCTTAATTACATAAGCTAGGCCTAGTAGGTGTAAGATATAAGTAGTTAAGTAACTAAAGAATAGTATAGTAAAGTAAGTATTATAAATTAGCTACGAGAGAGTATAACTATAAAAGAGTAATAAGCGTAACTATATACTTATAAGATCCGTCCTAAATAGGTAACTAAGGATAGTATATTAGTATATTAATATATTATACTTTCTTCTTTAGAAGTTACGTACTCTATATAATCTTAGCCTTATTTCTTATATATATACTCCTCTATTAGACTACTCCTTCTTAGTAGACCTTCTCTTAAGTATCCTATCCTTAGATTATATATAAAGCTATCTCTAATACTATCTCTCTCTTAATCTATTTATTATCCTTATATCACGAACAGGACCGGAGGGTCGGGCACAATCAAGATCGCGCCAAGCCAGACCGCGCTAAGCCACTTTAGGCCGCACACAGTCCGCATGAGAAAAGTATACTTCTCGCATCTGAGAAGCATCCTCTCCTTATACTATAAGTTTATGTTACTATAGGTATAGAAGGATACTTATTACTACGGAATCTACCTATCGCTAAGTACTACCTATCTTTAATAAGGTATCCTTAATATTCTTATAGTATCCCTTAAGATCAGACGGACTAGCGATAAAAAAGGGGGCTTAATAGCTCCTTATATATAATCTACGGGCAAATTAAGCGCGATCCTAAAATAGTAGTAATAAGGTTAAAATAACTAAGATCTTATCGAAGACTAGAAAGAGGACTAATATTATCCTTAGCGAGAAGTAAGCGACTTATACGCGGGCCTTAATACTCTCGAGATAGAAGAGGCGGAACTAATAACCTAATATAAAGAGACTAAGAGAAAAGTCGCTAATAAACGCTAAAGGGAAGAACTTAGAGTAATAGAGGATAAGCTTAAAGGAAGAGAATCTACTTAGTTTATGGAAGTCGTAGGTATAACGCTACTAAGTTATAAGTAATCTCTAAGCTCTTTAATCTTAGAAGACTCTAATATTTCAAAATATATTAAGCTCATACTATTACTAAGGTTCGATAGGAAGTCGACTAAGGGCCTCTAGAGGTACGACCTTAGATAGAAAAAACTCTTCTAGATACTCCTAGAAGTCACTAAGGATAAGTATACGTAACGTATATTACTCGTAATAACCTTCTTAGATAATAGAGTGGATAACGTATAGGTACGCCTATATATCAAATTCTAAACTTAGGATAACTATATTATATTCCTTAAAAGCGTTATTATAGATCCTATAACTCGTAAGAGTAAAGTACTTATTAAACTAATGTCGACTAAGTAACGGCCGAATTAGTTAGTGAGGGATTTACTACGCTATATTAAGAACATTAAGATAGATATTCTACCTATAATAGAGGATAAATAGATAGTATAGGTACTACTAAACGCGCTCTCGCCTAAGATTTACGCGCTTATTATATATGAAAATAAAGAAATTACATTAAGAGAATAGATCTTCGCCTTAGCCTAACGGTATAAGGACGTTATTAAGTAAAAGGTATAAGTTATATATTAGGATAAGTTATAAACGCATACTAGTACTAATACGTATATAACCCGTACGATATATATAAATAAGTCGCGTAAGAGAGGATAATAAAGTGAAGAAAGGAAGGACGCTCTAAAGAGGGATACTTTATCCTTCCTTAGTAAATACTTTAACTATAGTAAAAGAGGGTATAAGGCTAATTAGTATAGATTAAAGCCTTATAAGTAAGATATAAGCGTAAAGGATATACTAAAAAACTAAAGTATAGCGTAAAGAGTACCGCTATCGCGCTAGACTTACTAGATACTAACCCTAATAGAGAGATAAAGTACTACTGTAATGGGAAAGGTTTAGAGAGGACCTGAGATGCAAGGTGGGCGAGTAAGGTGATTGGTCAACTTTTAGCTATACATTATATAGGCAAACGTTACTAATCTCTGATTGGTCAGTTCGAGGGTACCACTTTAGCTTAGTAATCTTTTCTTTTATGATTCGCCTAGGTAGATAGAAAAACAATAAGATAATCAATCAACTACTTGACAAGATGTAAACGCGCCTATTACCTACCGCCGTACGAGTTAGCGCCTATAGCTAGAAGCCTCGCCCTAGTTCATTAGTGCCTCCGATAAGAACCTAATGCTTAATAGGAAAAATGCTTACGTATAGGCGTCTCTTTACGAGCGGTAGGAGAAGATCAAAACTGAAGAAGAAGAAACGATAATATAACTACAATAAACGACTAGACTAACGGAACTAAAGAATTACTTACTTACCTACCTACCTAACTAAATCTAGAGAACGCTAACTATATATATAGAACTACTACGTAGGGTATACCTTAGGGATTACTAACTAAGTAAGTCTATCTCACTATATAGGACGGGTTACGTTAACTATTTATAGAGACCGCTACTTAGGGTGCCCTTTAGAACTACTAGCTATATATATTTACTACTACTATATGAGGTAGAAACTAACGACTTTATAACTATTTAGATTATATAGAAGAACTAAGGAAGAGATATATCCCTTAAGGGATAAGGAAAGCGTTTAACCCTAAAAAACCCCTAGCTAAGGAACTTAGGGGAAGCTAATAAAACATAGAACTATTTAAGGAATAGCGATAACGGATAGGAAGGCTAAGCTCGTAGAGATAGGTAAAGTTAGAGCGCTATTATTAGGAAGTAGAGCTATAGTATTGATAGAAATTACTAGTAGAGATAAGGAATAAGAAGAGTAAGAGACTTAACGAAGGAGAGGAGAGAAGTTATGAAGATATAACTAATAAAACCGATAAAAACACTAAAAAACGTATATAAAAATATAAAAATAACGAAATATCATCCGCGAGAGACTTAAACGGTAAAGGAAAGTTAGGATCACTAATAATGTCGAGCGTTAGCTTATAAGATCTATTAACGCCGGATTCTATAGTATAGTCACTATATATCCCTCCTTCTATAATATCAATAAGATAAATACCCTAGAGTTCGGATAGAAGTGATAATCTTCTATATTTTAATAGAAAGAACGTAACTTCTTTCTTTAAGGAGTTTAAAGAGCTATACGAATATAACTAAGTGATAATAAGTGAAGAACGTATCTATAAGTCTATTCGCTTTATATTAAAGGTAGAGAAGGAGTATTATAAAGAGCTTACTAAGTTTAATATAATAGATTAGGAGAAGTTTAAAGAGAAGGTCTTAGATAAATATAAAGACTAGAATAAAACGTAGCGAATATTAAGTATTTAATACCTTTAGATACTTATAAAGTACTAGTAAGAAAAGTCCTAGAGTCTAGAACTATATCTCTATTAATTCTATAAGACTATAACTTACTTAATTCGGACCGAGACTAAGATAAATTATACGTACTATTAGCTCCTTCTATCCGGATTACTAAAGGCCTATATAGATAAGATTTAGAAGAAATAAAACTTAATAGAT